AGATAAATTGGGAGAAAAAATGCCAATTAGCAAGAAATATACTTTTAATAAGTATTTGAGGAGGTATTGGGGGTAAAAACTAACATTACTGCAAGTTAGTTTGATAACAAAATTAACTTTTTTTACTTCTTTGAAATGATATCTGAGTAGCAAATGCCACAGAAAAATCTGCCATTAATCTTATGAAGAAAAAATTCATCTTTTTCAATGCCGCAATCAACATTACTGCAAATGTCTTTCTTCGGTTCATGGTCTTTTTTTCACTTTTCTGAACGCTCATTAAATTCTTTATTCATTTTTTTCACTCTCTCTTCGTATCGCCTTTCGTCTTCTTCTCGGCTTCGTTTTTCTCATTCTTCTTGCTGTTTTTGTCAATAATTATTGTTCATAATATAATTTTTGTTTATTTTCAATAATTCTGTAATTCTTGGTATTCCGAAGAAGCTTTGATTAACTTTAAAATCTCTGTGTTAGTTTTGTCATGTTCCTTACCATGTCCGCCGTTGATTTCTTGGGCTTCCGGTTGGGTGTCGGTTAAAATTACATGTCCTAATTCATGAGCTAATACTCTAATTAAGTTATCCAAGCCAAACAATTCTTTAAATTCAGTGGGGTTAAGGAAGTAAACTCGTAGACCTAGTTGTTGGTATAAAAATAAGCGGTTAAGATAAATGGTGCGATTATAAATCGCCAAATCTCCCATTTGGCAAAAAGGTTCGCGGTCGTGTCAACCGCACTGAATTTTTACTTGCTTTTTATCGTCTAGTCAAGGTTTTTCTAGCATAAAACCACCAAAACGCACCATGGGTTCCGATTGAAAATGACCAAAGGGATAACCTAATTGCTGGCGAAAACGGTAATAAAAAGTGTTAATTAAATAATCAAAAAATCTATCCCAAGTTTCTAACTTTCCAGTATCTCGTAGGTTCATTTTCGCTCTTTAACTTTGCCTTGCTTGTCAAAATTAACCACTTGGCCGCAAGCGAGCAATTGCTTTTTAGGATTAGGATTGACGCTCTTTATCTGCTTTTTTTCCATATAAACTATTTTTGCGGGTTTTAGGCTTTTTTTGTTCTTTCTTATACTTGCCTAAACTTTTTTGCCAACTCCTATTTTTTAAGCGACTAGGAGAAAAGTGTTTAAGGTGAGTGCGAAGTTTTTGCTGGAATTCGCACCTTTCTTGGGATTTTTTGAGCTGTTTTTTACCAAAAAACTTTCAGTAAATTATTCAACCTAGTAAGAAAATCAACAAAATAAAGAACAAGCACAAAAATAAGAAAAATCTAGTTGCGGACATATTTAAGTAATTATTCATAAAAAGTTAAAGTTTTTTGCTTAATGCTTCGTTTTCGTAAGAGGCCTGACAAATTTCTTTTAACCTTTCGGCCATTATGTAAACAAACTTAAAAATTAACGCCCATCCAATTATAAATTGCTAATGCGGTGATTTTAGGAATATTTTTTGTTACTGTTTATACTTATTTTAGTGAATTTTGTTTATCTAGGTTTCCAAGGCGGTGGGTTAGGTTGGAGAATTTGGGCTTTAAGTTCATTTTGTTTTTCTAATTGCTGATAATAATTAACCTTTGACCACTGGTGAAATTGTTTAGCCGCCGTTTTTATAGTTTCTAGGAGTTGGTTTAACTGCTTTTGGGCTAATTCTTTATCTTTTAGGGCGATTTGATAAGCGTTTAGTAAGTTAATATGATTTTGTTCGTAACTATTTAATTTTGCGGTTAAATTAGCATTAGTTTCTCGTTCAGTTTGGAGTTGTTGACAGAGACGGTTATTAGTTTGCTGTGCTTGATTAAGGTTATACTCGGTGGCGGTTAATTTTTGTTCTAAATGATTAATAGTTTGGTTTACTTCGGTTAAATTTTGCTGAATTTGTTCCCACTGACTTGTTTCTTGGGCTTTTTGTTGACTTAAAACGCTTAATTCTTGCCGTAAAGCTGCGTTTTGTTCGTTTAAACTGGCTAAATCACTTTGTAAAATTTCTTTTTCAGTAGTTAATTGGGCTAATTCTCCGGCTAACTCGGCTATTTTTTGGTTTTTGGTGGTTAGCTGTGGTCGTAGGTTAGCATGCTTGTTAGCTGGTAAATTTTGCCTTTCAGGGCTTATTTTGCTTCATGGATAAGAAATTTCGCTAATAGTGGGTGTTTTTGGGGAGTTATCAGGGATTTTTACCTTTGGCGGGTCATCCTCTAATCAGTGTTTACCAGTAAAAATATCGTCGGGGTGAATATTCACCCAGTATAAAGCGGTAGTTCTTACGCTTGAATGACCCAATAATTTAGACAATAGCGGTAGCAGTAAACCAGATTCCGCATGGTAAGTGGCAAAACTTCTCCTTAAAGTATGTGGAGTGAGTTCAATATTGGCCGATAAGTTTACTTCTCTTTTAATTTTCCGTAAAAAATGATAAAAGTTAAAGCGATTAGTTTGGTTGGGCCGCCAATTATTCGCTTTTAATTCTTTTATTACTTTCTGAGGAATATACACATAACGCTTTTTCTGCCCTTTGCTTTTTATTGAATATAAACCTTTTTGTGTTTTAGCATTTAAGTCAAAATTAATGGCTTCATTTACTCTTAAACCGGCTTCACCACAGAGCAAAAATAAACTGTAATGGGTGTTTTTTTTGTATTCTCCCTGGCGGTTTGGTGTCTCTTGGATTTTATGATTAATTTGGGTTAAAACTGCTTGACTAGGAAGCATATATTTATTTATTTTTAAATAAAAATTTTATTTTTTATGAATATTCCGCCAGGACTAATTTGCCGTTCAAAAAAGCAAAGCGGCTCAATTTAGCAGAAAAAGAGGCAAATTTTCAGTTTTTTGGTTTTTTTAAATACTATAAATTAGAGAAAGGCAGAAGAGTAAATGCACCCAAAAAAGTTTCGCTACCTAAAAAACTTATTAGTTTTTACCTTTCAAAAATAAGTTAAGCCACCTATTATACTTACTCCAATAACCCCCGCCGTTACTCAAATAGGAGTTAAATCTTTTTCAACTTTCATTGGTAACCGAGTATCTATCGTATTCGTATTTACCTCCAAAGGCTTCTGTAATTGTTGAATATGTTGTTGAATATGTTGTTGAATATGTTGTGATTCAGACAACTTTTTCGCCCCAATTCTATCATAATGAAATGTAGTTAAGCCTTGCTCTTCAGCAACTTCCTCAAAAGCTTCTTTAATAATCTCCTCGCTTTTATTATTTTTTAAAATTTCTTCGGCAAATTTACTCAATAACTTTATATTTCTTTCTTTGCTAGAAGAATCTTCAATTATTTCACTAACAATTTGTTTGATTACTTGTTTTTGTTGCTCCTTGTCTTTTTCAACAACTGCCTTAGGAGAAACATTTGCAGCAGGTTTTTTCAAAGTAGGCGAATTAATTGCCAAATCTTTTTCTTTTTTACTATTATCAACGAAAGTAATAGAACCACCCGAAATAGGAACACTATCGACTTTGTTTGAATGATTTAATTGTGGTTTCTCGGATGGTGGATTAAAAATTGGTTGATTGTTAGTATCAGCACTCTGTTCAGCATTAGAGAAATTATGACTCTGTTGCGAAACTTTTTCGGTATCCTTGCTAAACTTTACTCCTATGTCAGTCGAGTTCACTACCTGACTAAACTTATTTGAAGTATCATTAAGTTTAATTTCTCTAATTATTTCTTGGAGATAATGCCTTACTATATCTCCATTCTGGCCTATCTTTTTAAAGTAAGCATTATTTTTAAAATCATCTTTGGTTTTTACTTGGTCTTTTTGCTGTTTTAATTCAGCAAGAACTTTATTTCTTTTATCATCAGTAATCCCTTTATGAACTTCTTCTAGAAATTGGCGATTATCTTCTTTTTGAAGAAATGCCATTAATTCATCAAATCATATTTCAACATCTTTTTCATAACTTCCGCTATGCCCAGTAATATCAAGCCTAATTGCTGATTTTTTAGTCCTTTTTCCACTAAGAAGTTTTTTCAAATCTTTATTTAACTTATTTTTTTCGGAATAAACGGAATTAGCTTTCTTAATTAAATTAATTAAGCGGTCTCGCTCATCATTAATCTCTTTTTTAATAGATTTGTCTTTAATCTTTCTCTGCCAATTATCGCCAAGAATTTGTCCTTGGGTTTTATCACTGTCATCAATATTAGTGTTTCAATAAGCAATAACCTCTTTAATAGCAGTCTCGTGCCAACGAGCAATTTGAGTTGTTTTTTCCGTAACAATCAGATTTAGTAGATAATCGTGTTTATTCTTAATAGAAGTTTCGCTAGTTTGGCTTTTGATGTCCTTTTCTCAATTTTTCCCTAGAATTTTGGTCAAGGATTTATTATTAATGCGATTAACTGAACCCGTTTGTTCAATAAAGTGATTGTTCAAGGAGACAATGGCCGCCTCATGCCAATGAGCAAATTTGCGATTTTCTTCCTCTTTATTAGCTATGCTAATTAATCTTTGGTAAGAATTTCATGTAGCACTAATCTCCTCTTCTGTATTTTGACTACGAATTATTTGTTTTCAATCAGCGGGAATTACTTGCTCCAAAGTTTTGCCGTTGCTACCTTGCTTACCCCACTTAGTTTCAATTCTCTTAATATGCTCTTCTTGACATTCGTGGATAATTCTTTTAGCCTCTCTTTTTTTAGCTTCTTCTTGACTTAATCTTTGCTCTTCTTCTAAAGCAGTTCGCCGATTTTTTTGAACTAATTCTAATTTTTTCCGTGTCCTACCATCCCGCAAACCACTGTAATCAAACTTATCAAGCAAGAATTCTTCTGGACTATCACTAGTCTTAATTTCTTGCAATAAATTGTCATAAATTTGTTCGCGTTGGGTTCTTTCATCTCGTAATTGCTGAACTTTTTTACGAGCCTGATAACTCCGGTAAAACGCTTGAATTTTGGTAGCAAACGCTTTTAATTCTTCATCAGTTTGCCCTGATTTATATTTCTTTCTTCTTACATTTTCCTCTTCCTCTTTTCCTTTCCTTTTAAGATTAGGAGGAAGGTCTGGCACAGGAACTTCATTATTACCTATGCTACTACCTGCCCTTTCGGCTTCCTGTCTTTCTAACTCTTCCTGTTCTTCTTCTCATCTTCTATAATCCTCAGCTGCTTTTTGTCTTTTCTTTTCAGCAATTTCAGGAAAAAAATCAAAGTAATCATGGTTAAAGTCTCAAGCAATTTGATTAAAAGCTATATCACCTTGCCTAGAATTACCATTAAATTTGCTTTCAATTTCTATTTCTTTATGGTTCTTGTCTTTAAGAAGTTCTCCTTGGTCTCTGTTATCATTCAGAGGCTTTTGGAGAGCACCAACCACTTTAATCAAATCCTTTGGATCAACTTTTACATCTTTAATTATTTCCCTAGTTTGTTCAACAATTTTTTCCCCTCTTCCTTCGAGTATTTCATTAATTTCGAATAAATAATGTTTTATTTTTGGGGGACAATTGCTAACATCAATTCCCACCGCATTAATTCATTTATAAAATTCTTCTTTTATTTCTTCTCTAAGGAATTCCGGTTTATTATCAACTATTGCTTTCAAACAAAATAATTGAGCTAGAAAATCATCAGCCAATTCGTCAGGAGATCGGTTTGGGTCATTAATAGATTCTTTAAAAATTTGTTTTTTATTCTCTCAATCAGAATAATAACCAGCCTTTTCAATATATTCTTCCAGCGATTCTATAGTGTAGTGAAAATTACTAAACACTAGTTTTTTTTGATGAGCTGTTAATTGAGCTTGCTTCTGCTTTTGTAGTTGTCGTTGTCCTCGCATAATAATTTCTCCTTTGTTTATCTTAAACTAGATGGACCAACCTTAAAAGCTAACCAGAAAGGAATTAAAATATTATGACAGATAACAACAATAAATATACAACAAACACCCCTAAAACTTATGAAGTTAGGTATGTGGAAAACAAACAAAAATTTCTCCTCGCCAACCAAAAATATCGGGCTAAATTAAAAAGTAAAAAACCTCCCAAAAATCCCTCACTTTTTCAACAAAAAAAGCAACAACGACTTTTAAAGTTATTAGTTAATCAGAAAAGTTTTGTTCCCGTTCCAACTAAACTTAAACATCCAATTATTAAGAATTGAAATGCGGATAATTATTGGTATAAGCAAAAAATCAACTTAAATAACCTTTCGCGTGGTTGTGTGCGAATTATCTCTGATAACTGAAATAATTCGGCTATTATTTGATTAGATATCGACCAGCCTAAATGAACTAAATTAGCCAAATTATTCCGTTGCGGTTATATTACTTCCCCTAAAAAGCATATTCGCATACCAGTTCCTATTAAAGACCTGCAAGGCCAAAAAAACCGGCACGCTTTACTTTCAAGGAGAAAAAATTGGCGATGCTAAATTAAGCGGTGAGGTAATGCTTCCCGGCCAAACTTATTATGATAAAGAAGGTAATTTTTTAGGTTATTATGAATATAAAGCCTGAGGTTCTTTCTTTCCTTTGAATAATAAAATATGAGCAAATGTTGCGGAATTCTTGGCTTTTTTAAAGCAAATTAGTGGTATTGAGTATAAATCTATTAGTCAGCATTTTATTTGGCAAAAAATCATTACTGAAAATGATTATACACCATTAATTAAACAAAATTCTTTTATTTCCGCTCGGGAACCACCAGGGAAGTGGAGAAATAACCTTTCCAAAATAGTTAATTATTAGGGGCAGTTTAGCCTTTTTACTAATTAATTACTTTGGGGAAGTTATTTTACTAACTATTCCCAATTTAAACCTAAAAGAACAGCGATAAGTTGGAAGCCGTTCCGGGAAACCGGCTACGGAGAGCGTTATTAACATGGTAGTTAATGACGGGGCTAATGGAAAACAAGCCCTAGGGGTTCCTAACAATACCTAAAAGTTAGGCATGGAAGACTTCCGTGATATCGCTAATTCTTTATAATATATTTTTAAAGAGTAGATATCATGGAAGAAGGAAAAGAGCGAAAATGTTTGTTACAGAAAATGATTATACACCATGGTTAGGTTTGGGGAGAATGGGAGAGTTAGAGGATTGGTGTATAATCATGAAAAATGAAACAAGGAGGAGGTAAGTTGCGTAATTATGTTCTAATCTTGGAGATGGCAAACTCTTGTCCATAAGTGGTCGGCAGTTCCATCTTTAAATCAGAATACTAATTTGTATTTTTTGCCAGCAAAGGGAATTTCTTCTCGCAAGAAAACTTTTCTTGTTCCGGGGTAGTCAGTAGGGAAAAATCTTTTGTTGTTTACTTCGGCTTTAAAAATATTCAGAATTAACTTTTTGCTAATCATTTCTCGACCTTTTTTCTTTCAAGTATGATCAGTGATAGTTATCTTCGTTATGATTTTTTTGTTAAAGATAAATTTAAACGACAGCAAATAAGTTCATTGTCATTCTTTAAATTCTTCCGAAAACTCTTCTTTTTCTAATTTAAACAGTTCGGACATGTAAGTTGTCTTTTTTCTCGCTGATGGTTACTTCAATTTTAGCAGGAGAAAATAGACGATTAGCATAAGTAATTAAGCGGTCAAAAGTAAAGCAGTCTAAGTGATAATGAAAAATATCTTTGGTTTCGGCGGTGGTTAGTTTAATTCTATCGGCTACTTCTTCAATTGGTAAGTTGTTATCTTGCTGGTAAGCTAATATTTTTTCACAAAGTTTATATTTGGCTCTTTCCAAAGAAGAAGCATTAGCAGGTAAAGCACGGGAGATATCTGGTCCATCGTAATCAGGTTTCTCTATTTCTTGAAGGTATTTTTTGAAATCTTGTTTTTGCTGACTGTTTTTCATAACTTTTCTATTATTTATTTTTTATGGTGTTCCTCATAACACGCCAAAGACTTTTCCAAGATTTCCGTCATTAAGCATTTATCTTTTAAGGCTAATTCTTTGAGTTTTCAATAAGTTTGCTCTTTGACTTTTAAATTTAATTGCTTGGTGCGACCGGAAATTCTTTTATCGCTAGGAGCAGTTTCGGGAGCCTGTAAGTTTTGGCTAGCTGCTTGGGGAACTTCCCCTAAACTTTTTTTTTGGATTTTATTTCAGTGATTGTTAGTTGTGGCTTGATTGCTTGCTGGGGCTTTTGTTTCTAAATTCCACCAATATTTTCAATCCCCAGACTGGTTTCAAGCAACTAATCAGCCGGCAGTGCTACTTATTGACATATCGCGGGTAAATTCATTAAATTTTTTTCAGAGTTGGCGATTATGAGAACGACAAAGTTTTTTCTTTTTATCAAAAAGAGGTTTATCACAAGCTATATACTGGTTAGTTTTATGGTCTATTTCCTTAAAAGAGCAAGTTTCAGGTTTTTGCTTGGTGGTTTCTATACAGTTAAGGCAATAAGTTTCAGTTAAAAAACCGGAGTCTAATTGTGGTGAATAAGCGGTTTCATTTTGGAACTTTTTCTGGCAATTATCACAAATAAAGTCTTGGTGAGAATGAGGATTTAATTGCTTAGACATATACTTATTTTTATATCGCTATTTAAATACCGCTATCTGTTTTATAAGTAAGAAAGGAGACTATTAATTAACTGTTGAGCTTGCTTTTTAAGACTTTTATACCTAGTTTCGGTGATGCTTTTGCCCTCATTTTGGGTTTGGCGGTAAGAGGCTTTTTCGTAAAGAACGATGGGCGAATAAGGATAACCACTAATTTTTAAATATTCTTGGGTGGCTTCCGCTTCGGCTGGCGTGGATAGGCGAGTTAAAAAGAATAATAACTTTTTTGGCTTAATTCCTGCTTCTTTGAGGGCGTGGAATTCTTTGACCGCTGGCACTAAATCTAAACGGCTAGCTCCAGTAGGTTGAATTATTAAATCGGCCTTTTCCGCAATTTCTTTGGTGGCTTGACTGGTGCGGGCGGGTCCATCAATGATAATAAGGTCGTATTGACTAGCTAAAGGTCAAATGTCTTTTACTTGTTGGAATACTTGACAATTAATTTGGTCTTTGATTTGGCTTCATTGATAACTGCTCGCTTGCTGCGGGTCGCAATCAGCCAGTAAGATTTTTATTTTCTTTTTGTGGGCTTCCGTGGCGAGGGCTTGGCTCAAAGTAGATTTTCCTACTCCTCCTTTTTGAGAGATAAAGGCGATGATTGTCATATTACTTATTCTCAAATAAAGGCTATATTCCAAGCCTTTTAACTTGTTTCATAGTTTCTTTATTGGCTATTCCTATTTTTCTTTCAAAGCGGATTCCTTTGTCCCAAGTGAAAGGAGAATCACACAGAATTTTACTCGGATAATCTAAACCAGTTTCAGGAGTATTGTTAATAAATACTTCTACGGGCAAAATGTTTTCCAATTCATCAGTAGTCGTTGGCACTACTACCACTGAACTATCATATTTATTCCGTTCATCATTGCTAATTATTAAAACCGGACGACAATCTTTTTTTAGTTCTTTTATTCGTTCCGGATTTTTTAATAGCCAAATCTCGCCTTTTTTAGGAAAATTATTTTTTTCTTTCAGCATCTTTTTTTTGTTTTCCTAATTTAGTGGATAAATCTTCCCAAGACATTTCACCATAAGTTCGCAATGTTTCTTGTAGGTTTTTATTTTTGGTTCGGCTTTGATAACCAGTAATTAGTTTTTGTCGTAACTCCTTTTTTTGTTGCTGTTGTTTTTGTTGTAATTTTTCTTCTACTGCTTCATTGATAAAACGGCTAATTTCTCTTTTGGCAACCAAATTTTTTATTTTGCTATATGTTTCCTCTTGAAAGTAGACATTCATATTGCGTCCGGTCATAATAATAATTTTTATGTCGGCATGGACATATTTATTTAGGCTAATTTTAATTATTATCGGTAGCAAGATAGCGGTATTTGGCTATCTATAATTATATTTAATTTTAATCATATTAGTTAAAAAATAGTTAAATCTTTAAACAGATGGTTTTTTTGGTTAAAAATAACGGCAAATGAAGCATGAATTATTTAGGCTTTTACTGGCGAAATTGGTTGAACTAATATTATAAATAAACAAGCGTTTTAAATTTTGAAAATAGCGTACAATCTTTCCCAAAAATCCCAACCTAAAAAAACTTTTCTTATAAAATTATAACTATTATGGAAAACATAAATAAAAAAATAAATCAAATCCAAAAAGGAGAACTAAACTAAAATGGTAAATGCCCAAGAATGGTTAGATAAAGAATATCCGATAAACGGAACCTGTCAAAGAATTAGTGACTCAGAAAACAGAGGTAAAAAAAGAGCAGATATAACTACATTAGATATCAGCAAAGGTAAAGTCGGGCATTCTGCTGGAAACCTTCTTTTTGGAGATAAAGTTTTAACTAGTTCTTTAAAACTAGAAGGATTTACTAATTTACGAGTTTTAATAATTTCTTCTCATCAGTTAATTAGTTTGGATACTAGCGATTGTCCTAATCTTGAAGCACTAGATTGCCAAAACAATCAATTGAACATTCTAAATATTAATAATTGTTCCAGCCTCGAAAAAATTAATTGTTCAGGAAATTATATTAAAAAATTAGGTTTAAACACAAATATCGAACTTAAAGAAATCAACTGTGATTTTAACAAAAATTTAAAGGAAACAGATGTAAGTAATTGTCCGAACCTTATTAAAACGGGTTCTGGTTTTGCAATTGAAAATGGCAAACTGATAAAAAATGTTTCCCAAATAACTCCTGCTGGAGAAAATTCCATTAGAAATATTTTAATAATCGGTATAACTGGTAGTGGTAAATCAGCTTTGGCTAATGTTTTATCTAGCACTAACCAATTTGGAGAAAGTAATTACAGCACTAGTGCTACTAAAAGTTTTCAATCCAGCGGTGTTGTTGAATATCAAGGCAAAAAATACCGAGTAATTGATAATATTGGTTTTGGCGATACTAATAAAATCACTGAGGAAGAAATTTTATTTAGAATAGGAGAAGGTATTCATGAAGCCAAAGAAGGCTTGAACCAAATTCTTTTTGTCTTTAAAGACAGGTTTTCTCAAGAGCATATAACGGTTTTCAATATGTTTAAAGACTTTATTGACGAAATTGAGATTGCTAAATTTACCACTATAGTTCGCACTAGGTTTCCGAAATTCAAAAAAAAGGAAGCATGTGAAAAAGATAAGCAAACCTTAATTTCTCAAACTATAGAACTTAGTGAAATAATTAATTCATGTAATGGTCTCATACATGTGGATAATCCATCAGTAGACGAGGATGATAGCGATGACGAAGCAGTAATAGATAGAAAAAGGAGAGGAGAATCAAGAGAAATGGTGCTAAAATATCTTACAGAGAACTGTCAAAATATTTATAAGTTGAAAAAATGAGACAATATAAATTCTATGGTAGAAGATTATAAACAACGAGTAGAGAAGGGCAGTGATTCAGAGGCAGAATTGAAAATAGAGAAAAATAAAATGGTTCAAGGGGTAAAGAGAGAGTTAGAAGCCAATATTAGAATTGATACTCCCTTAGGGTTTGGATTTGGTGCCGGATTTAAGAATAATAAATAAAACTAATTAAAAAACATGGTAGATTCTAAAACAATTATTCTCATTGGAAAGTCGGGCAGAGGAAAATCTACCCTAGCTAATGTAGTTACTAACACCAATGATTTTAAAGAAAGTTCCGGGAGTGCTAGCGAAACCAAAAAAGTTCAACTTGGCAATTTTAAAGAAGATAACTTGAACTATCAAATAGTTGATACTCCCGGTATTGGAGACACTAAAATGTCGAATAACGAAGTATTAGACATTATTGCCGAGGCAGTTTATCGAGCAAGAAAAGGTGTTGGACAAGTATTTTTTGTTATTAATGGTCGTTTTGAACAATATGAAATGGCTACCTATGATTTATTAAGGACTGTCATTTTTGATAAGGAAATTACTAAGCATACCACTATAGTTCGCACTTGTTTTAAGAATTTCAAAAAAGAAAAAAAGTATCAAGTTGACATTGATTCGATGGTTAAAGAAGCTAATGAAAAAAGGACTGAACTGAGACAAGTCATGTCTGCTAAAGAAAAAGAACTAACAAATTTGTCTTCTGCTGAGGTTAGGCACCAAGAATTATCTACTGAACTCGAACAGTTAAAAAAGGAACTAGTAACCACTAATTTAGCCGAAATACTTGAGTCTTGTCAGGAAAGAATTGTTTATGTAGATAATCCTCCCCTTGATGATGAAGAAAAATTGGAAATAAATAAAAAGAAAAGAATAGAGTCAAGAAAAATTCTTCTCGAACATTTAAGCAAGAGTTATCAAGAGGCTCCTTACATACCGGATAAATTAAAAGAGTTGAGCAAAGAAATTGAAAGTGATTATTCTGATTATTTAAAAAAAAAAGAAGAGTTGAATGAAGAACTAAAAAGGTTAAATTTTCGGACCAAAGCTTCTATTTCTCAAACTTCTCCAAGCCAAACTAGCAAGATTAGTCTTCCTAGCGACCAAACAGAGTTAACTAGCGAAGAAAATCCAACCCCAATTGAAGAAAAAATCATTCGTCAAAAAGTCTTAAAGCATATTTTTAATAATTATGAGGGTATTTCTAAGGAACTAGGAGGAAATATTTTCTTAAATAGTGTGGCCGGTGAACGTCCTTGACCAGAAATTCACTCTGAATTTGCTAATAAGGAAATAGTGCTAAGATGGCTAAAAGAAGGATTTGACTATTTTCAAACCCAAAAATGAATAGCGGCTTTAATCGATTTTGATCCTGAATATGATGCCGATTTTTGTGCTTGATTAAGAGATAAAAAGCAATTAACTGTAGAAATAGTAAAAAGAGCTAGTTATCCGCAAAATATTGAACGATTAAGAAATGAGTATGTTAATTACTTACAAAAAGAAACTGAATTGCTTGCTAAACATAGCCAACAATTACCCCCCGAAGCAAACTCATTACAAGAATACTTAGATAATAAATATCCTACTACGGAAGAAAAAGCACAGGTAAAGGAAATAATTATTAATCAAAATAATCCACAAAATGAACTTGATGGTCAAACCTTAAATTTAACTAATTATCCTAATTTAGAAACAATAAAAATTCATGGAAGATATTTAAAATCACCCTTAACTAAATTAGAACTAAATAATAATCCTAAACTTATTGAATTAGATTGTCGAAGTAATCAACTAACTTCTTTAAATATAAACAATTGCCCTAATTTAAAGAAAATTTTTTGTTTTAATAATCAACTGACTAACTTAAATTTTCTCCATAATTTGAATGAGGAAAAATTAACTGAACTTAGTGTCAGAAATAATAAAATTACTAGCGATTTAATTCCTTTAAATAAGTTTATTAATTTAGAAGGATTATATTTAGATAATAATAACTTTTTTGGTTCTTTACAATCTTTGAGGGGATTAGATAAATTAAATAATTTAAGTATTGATGATACCGATATTGATTCCGGTTTAGAATATTTGCCGAAGAATATTGAAAATTTTTGATGTTCAGCCGAGCAAAGAAAAGATGCTAAATGTAAAGATATCTATAACTTATTGGCTAATAATCAAGGCAAAGTAGAAACAAATTATGATGGAATAATAAACTTCCCCCAAAAACTTCAAGCTTATAAACAAAAACTTCAAAATCAACAAACCCCCCAAATCCTCCAACCTCCCAAAAACTCCTAAACCTTAAAAAAAAAGAACCAAAAAAAATTCCCTATTTAACACTTT